TTTTTTTTTTTTTTGATACAAGGGATTGAACCCAGAGGGGCTTAACTTACTGAGCCACATCCCCAGCCCATTTTTAAATTTTGAGACACTGAAGCAAAGCCAGTGGAGGCACCAGCCAGTTTGCTGCATAAGAGAGTGGTAACATTAATAGATTAAAAAATACAGCAGACAAACTTTCTTAAAAAAAATGTAGAATATCAAAACAGTTTGAATCTAGCTGAATCAAAGGTTGTACAGCAAGCTGGGGTCTGAAAAGTGCTGTTTCTCAACTGGCAAGTAGATAGCTGAGGTGGGGAGCCATCTTGAAGATCTACACTGCAGTTTGCTGCTACAGGAGCCCAGGACATACCAAACTTTCCCAGCAAATGCTTACCATATGCCTTGGATGCACCTATAAGAATGTGATTAAAATAGGCACAGAGAAGACTATACCCTAGGGGCTTCAGGTCAAAGATATGGATGGGAGTGAAACTCACTTTCCCTTTGACTCTGGTGACTCACATGACCAGGTGGAGAAGGTCAGGAAACTGAACAGGTAGATGTAATTACATTCAGACACTGACCCTGGAAGGCCACATTCAAGGGTGGTACAATGTGCCAGACCTGTGGAGGTTGGTTACCCTACCCTATGAGTAGAATTCTCAGTAGAATCCTGAGATCCAGATGCCCAGTAAAGATCAGCATTGGCCCAGCCCTAGAGATACCACCCAAAAAAGTTCCAATGTTCTGATCAGTGCTAAACATCAGCCACAAAAACCTCCCATTAGGAACTCTGCATCAGCCCTGCTCTGGGAGCGCATGAATCTAGTGTGTCCAGACAAAACTCCAATTGACAATACTTCCCATTCCCTCCTACCTTATACTAGTGAGAAGGGAAGCTGAGAGCTATTTCAACCAGCTTTGATTCCAGGAGGCTCCAGCTGGTAGTTGCTGAGCAACACCAAAAGAGGAAAGGTTTAATGACCTCCCAGCCTTTGCTTTCTCTAAGTGTTATACAGTGCAAGAAGAAATAAAAGGGCAGTCTGGCATAAGCAGTGAATATCCATCCTTGTCAACAGCTTTAACCAACTCAACACATGCAATGTTTTCAGTAAGAACCCCCCACCCTTTTGGTGTTCTTGCTGTGCTGGTTGGTTCATGCCAGTACATTCAAAGCTCAGTTCAGCACATTATTTTTTGCTTGTTTTAATCTTTGTGTGTGTGTGTGTGTGCGTGTGTGTGTGTTATTTTGCTTTATTTTCTCTGTTGGGTATTAAGATTTCTTATTTCTTTTGTTTTTGTTTCTCTTATTACTCTCTTCCCTTTCTTCTTCTAATAGCCAAATTCTCTCTTGAATATACAAACAGCATAATATGAAAAGGGCTCTTTTTTTTTTTTCAGAGCCATTAGACTTTATAAAGTAGTTGTGTTCCCAGCTTTATCACTAACTCTCTGTGGTGACCATGCCACTAACTTAATTTCTGTGGGATTAGTTTCTTGTTCTGTAATTCGGCAAGGTGAACAAGATGACATCTTAGGATCTTTCAGCTCTGTAAGTCTGATTCTGAGTCAAAGGTTTACACTAATTGTTTACTTGGATAGCAAAGGATGATTCAATATTTCCATTGAACAGGCTATTTATTCTCTTGAGCATAAGTATGTAAACCTCTGGCTGATGATTAAATTTGTGCCATAGGGTTTAAGAATAGCAGGAAGCAGACATTTTATCCAAATATATTTATATTTTTTCTATAGGCCTATAGATCTCATTAGACAATAGTTTTCACACGTCCTGTCTACATTTTACATGTTGATCTTCCAACTAAAAATCTCTTATATATTATTACCCAAAAGAGAAATCAAACGCATGTTTAAAAATCAAAATATTATATTTTTTAAGGAAAGTATAATTCTGTTGTTTTAGGTCATAAGTAGTTGCAAACACACAAATGTCACCAACATTTTAGCTCTGCCTTGCCAGGCTGCCTGAGGAAGTAAGGGAAAATTTCTTTTTTTTTTTTTTTTAATTTTTTATTGTTGGTTGTTCAAAACAATAAGGGAAAATTTCAAGATCTGTTCTATGCTGTAAGAGACAGCAGTGGGCCAGCCATTTACCACCTAACCCAGTCAGCCAGGAGTAAAACTTAGCAAAATAATGCTTGTAGAATGATGACTCCTGTGTACCAGTACAAGAAGTGTTTTTACATATGGAGTATTTACATATGGAGTATTTCACAAATGAGGACACTCAGACTCAGAGCAATTAATTTGGCCAAGGTGAAAAGCCAGTAAATGGATGGGTCAGGATTTAAATGCAGGTATACAAAAATTCCAGACCAGTGCTCTTAGCATTATGCTATTCTGAAGTAAGAAGATTATTCAAATGGTGACACAGCTATAATGACTGAACTCTCAGCAGGTCACAGGTCAAACCGCATACTGGGCAGAGTGTACCCTTTTATTGAGCAGAATGTACCCATGAATGTATGTGAGAAACAAGATAGGGGAGGAAGGGGAAAAAAAAAAGAGATACAAATGAAAAACGTACCAGAATAGCACACTCCAAAAAGAATGCAAATCATTTATATCCTAGGCCAGCCAATTTAGGACGCTTTGCACAAGTGAATAATTACTACCCATCCTGCCCAGTTGCTAGAGATGAAACCCAAGGCCTCACACATTCTAGGCAAGTGTGCTATCACTGAACCCTACAGCCAGCCCAATAATTACTACTTTTAGCACACTTTAAGGCTTAACATTATATGCATAATCAACAGGCACTGTGAATCATAATGGGAGGCAAGTGAATGAACTTTCAGCTATAATAAAACAAAATGATGAGCTTTAAAAAGATAAGCTATCTTTCGGGGAACACTTACCCGAAATAAAATCTGTATAATTATATAATCATGTATGCATATATAAATGTACCAGCTTCCTAAGAATAACAAATAATTATGTAAATAAGTACATTATCCATGTGAACATCCATTGAGTTAAAAAAAAAACTTACCTTAGATGAGACTATTCTATTATCACAAAATCTTTGTGCAATGTAAGCTTCTGTTTCTGAAACTGGATGATTGCCAACAAACACTGTGCGTGTACCAACTCGTTTTTCCTCTCCAGCACACTGATCAAGAGAAAGAGGGAAAAAGTCAACTTTATATCACATTTTTCCATGCTTCTACCAAGCTTAAATTCTTGTCTAAGCATGTTTGGCTATAATCTGGGGAGAGACAGTAGTAGGGAGAGGAGAAATCCTTGTTAGGAAATTCAAAATCCACTAAGCTTTTAGTTGCTGATTTTGGGAAGATTAGTAAATGTGTTGTTTGAACCCAACACATTGTGAGGCCAACAAGTATAATTCTAAAATGATGAAAGAAAACATCCAAAGGAGTCCAGGGAAATTCTCCCCAAAATATGGCACAGTTCCTGAAAGCAGTAAACAATACCTTTACCAGAATAGTAGCTTTGATTGATTGACTGTCTTCTGTCTGCAACCATAATATACAGGGTCTAAAACAGTTTACTGATAAAAGCAGTAAAAATTTCCCATAATATCCATTTTTCACCCCAAAGTGAACAAAACTGCAAGATTCATACTTCATTTGGCTTCACCCCTACTCCTGTCTTCTGTTGTAGTCTTTACAATAGATCTGATCCTTATAATGCACCAATTAGAACTACAAAGAAGTCAAGTCCATACATACAATGTAATTTGCATTCTTTAATAGTCATATGGTTGTTTAGTTTTACACACAGCAAGCAGTAGCTATGAAGAAAATAAGGAAGAGCTGCCTTTCAAGCAAGTTCTCAGGTTATTCTACAAGTGGAAAGGAGCAAAGGAGGTAAAGTGTCAGTGAGGCAGGATGTTTCTTGCACTGCTAATATAGATTTCTCTCCTTGATTACAGTGGCCACCAACTGACTTAAAATAAACATGAACTAGTACTTTTCCTGATTCTTAATCATCTATGATTTCTTCTGTGCCAGAGAACATAGAAAGGAAAAGCCAAAATGCAATTTTCCAGGCATATGGTTTTGTTTATGAATTCCCTACATTTCAATGGCATTTACAGAATAAGGCCTAAGTGACCTCCATCTCAATAAATTGGAGAAAATGGATTGAAATTACTATGTTGGTAGAGGTGTGTATGTTTGAGTGCAGATCCTGGCAGTGACTGTTGTTAGATGATGATATTGAGGTCTGAAGGAAGCTGTAGAATGACCACTTCTGAGCATTATTCAAAATAGGGCAAAACAGTTCAGGCAGGTTTGCGTTTGGAGCTGCCTGGGGACTGGGGGTGAGGTAGCATGAAGTAGATGACTTTCCCATGCCTGTTTCACCCTAAAATCTGATGAACATGCAATCTCTGGGTAGACTTTTCTACAACTATTTAAAATTGTTTGGTTTACATAAAAATGGAAATCCTGAACTCATAAGTAAATTCACTATAATTTTCCACTTGCTTCCAATGTAGAGTGTTAAAACAGTGACATTAGTTTTTTTGATTTTGAACAATACAGTACCTTTGCCAGGTAGAGAAACTCCAAGGAGGAAGCATTAAAAAAAAATTCCCATTTGGATGGTACCCAATGTAGTCTAGTGAAAGTGTATGTATGATTCCTGCCACCTCATAAACACATTGTAATTCATTAGTAGAGTCCATCCTGGACTGATTCCCATTCAAATGTCCTTAGAAACAGCATTTAAAAAAAAACTGAAGTGTTAGCAAAAACTTTTTTTTTTTGTACTGGGATTGAACTCAGGGGCCCTTAACCACTGAGCCACATCCCCAGCCCTTTTTTTGTATTTATTTAGAGACAGGGTCTCGCTGAGTTGCTTAGGATCTCACTAAGTTGGTTAAGGCTGGCTTTGAACTCACGACCCTCCTGCTTCAATCTCCCAAGCTGCTGAGATTACAGGCATGCACCACTACAACCAGCACAAACTCGGGTTTTTTTTTTTAGTTGTTGATAGACCTTTATTTTATTTATTTACATGCAGTGCAGAGAATTGAATCCAGTGCCTCACTCATGCCAGGCAAGTGCACTAGCACTGAGCCACAGCCATAGCCAAAGCCCCACAAACTCGGTTTTAATGACACATCACGTGCTACATAAAAAGTATCAAAAATATTTAAAAGTATACTTAAGATATAGGAATTAACTGAGAAAGTTATTTAAATTTCTTTGTAAAAGATAAAAATCAGGGGCTGGAGCTCAATATCATCAAGGTCCTCAATATCATCATCTAACAACAGTCACTGCAAGGATCTGCACTCAAATATACACACCTCTACCAACATAGTAATTTCAATCCACTGGGCAGGGTGCTTGTCTAGCATGTGTGAGGTACTGGGTTCTATCCTTGGCAGCACCACATAAAAAAAATAAAATAAAATAAAGGCATTCTATTAAAAAAAAGATAAAAATCACCCTCTTGTGTTCTTGATGTGTATCTTTACAGTATAATCTGAGTATTGTTTTTAAAAGGCAAAAAATAACCTTTCAGTAAAAATCAAATGGTACTCTTATTCAACTATTACCACCTTAAAATCCCATGTATTCACTAATTACAAAAAATGGACAATTGTTGGAAGCACAATTTGTTTCCTGATTGCCTCTAGACCCATAAGTAGAAAAGTACTGAACAAAAATAGAGTCCTAAATACAAGATCATCAGACACAAGATTTTAAACAAAGCCTACCTCTTCATCCTTTCCAGGTGTTGGCAGAATTAAGGGCAGTTACCCATAGAGTCTTTCTTCTTTGGGGGAGGAAGGGCTGGGGATTTAACCCAGGAGTACTTTACCACATCCCCATCCCTTTTTATTTTGAGGCAGGGTCTCACTAAATTGCTTAGGATCTTGCTGGCCTTGATCCTCCTGTTTGGCCTCTCAAATTGCTGGGATTACAGACATGATTCACCACACCCAGTTTAACTATAGATTCTTAATCCTGGCTATACACTGGCTTTAAAAACACTGATGTCTGAGTATTTTAGCTAGTATCTAATTTCTCTGGAAGCTCCTCAGGTGATAATCCTAATATGCAACCAGGGCTGAGAATTACTGGCAGACTCTGAATTAGTGATTGTCAGCAACTAACACCCTACAAAATTTTAATGTATCAGTCATAATCCTACATTTTAGCTGTGATTAAAATAATTCAAACAATTTGCTTTTCAATGAATAAAAGTATAAATTACCCCTAACCATTTTAAACTGTTCATGAATTAAATTCTCCTTCACTGTTTAATTTTGCATAGTTAATCTCCCTTCAATTATTTAGATCAATGCTAATGAAATTATAGGCCCTGATAAAATACAAAGCTACTTGAGTTATCAACAAAAAATCTTAACTGATGTCTTCCTCAGCAATTACAGCATTATTTTTATTGGTCATCAACTACTCTCATTGAATTCCTATAGAAAATAAAAGTGAACCAAAAATCCTTATTAAAACCTAAAGACCTGGCAATGATTTAAGACTGGTCATACTCCAGGTCCAAAGATATTCTTTTCTCTCAAGCACTAGTGTTTTTGAACTGCATAATCAGTCTCAAAAAGAACAAATGAACTTAAAATTGAAAGAAAGATAGGACATTTCATCAAAATTTCATACGTCTATTAAAATGCTCCCAAAGTCAAATTACCATATTAGGATTTGGAGGGCTGGGTTGTGAAGGGAGGAGAGTGTTAAAGTGTCAGGGAACATTTCCAGCTTAGTAAGCATCTTGGTTAAAATCACTACCAAATAGACACTAGTATGTATATACGTGTCTGTATAACCAATGTGATTCTGCAACCTGTACATTCAGAAAAATGAGAAATTATACCCCATTTGATTCAAATGTATGATATGTCAAGATCATTGTATTGTCATGCGCAACTAATTAAAAAAAAATCACTACCACATATTCGGTGGTCAAACTGCTCAGGTTTCTAAGCCCGCATTCCATTATAACAAGCAAGATGAATAATCCTGATACACAATTTTATTTGTAACTCTAAAATCTCACTTTTGAGATTTTGCCTTTACTGCAACTTCTTAAGTAATTAAGCTGTGTCTCCCTCTGTGGCCAGAGAAAGTGAAAAAAGATGAAGAGGGCATTTTTGTGGAGACAGGAAATTTTCTGTCATTTTCCCTTTAAACTTTAATATGGTTATATTTACTGAAACTCTTAGACATACAACTAAGACAAATATACAATGTTAATCCCTATACACAAAGATTCTCTCTAATTAGATGCTACCTGGTGGCAGTATATTTAATTGAATAAAAACTACTATAGGAAATAGATACTAAGCTCCAAATACTTAAATTAGCAAGCACAATACTGAGGAAAATGCACAGACTGTTAGAATTGGGTAAGAATGACACCTTTTTGGAAGCTCAGAATTATTTGAGATTCCATTATATCAAAGTGATCCACTGAGCCATTTAATTTCACCAGGGATAATCAATTCTAAGTGTTTCCAATTTGATCCTCCCCCAAGGTCCTCAATGGCTATAGAAACATGTCTCTAAATAATGAAATGGCAGCTTTTCTACAGGATAATAATCAATAACTAAAAAATGTAAGCATTTTTTGATTAAAAATTCTAACAGGGATTTTTAAAAATATTTATTCTTAAATTTTAGGTGGACACGATATCTTTATTTTACATTTATAGCACTCTACCACTGAGCCACAACCCCAGCCCCAGGTTTTTTTATTTTATTTTTTTAAGATTCAGAGGTTCTTTCATTTATAGAAAGTAACCTGAAACCTGAGACTCTCAAAATTTCTACCAAGACTCAGCAACTCAGCTTTCCTTGGTAACAGTATCTTTCCTAACCCAGAGACTGACAATATGCATACAAGTACACAAGTCTAGGAGGTCCTAAAGTTACTTTTCACTTTTGCTACAAATATCTCTATACCACCTTTCATTCCAAATATGTAACAAACTTTAAAACTCTAAATAGGAAGGTACTCAATTTCTATTGATGGGGAGCAATTGAGAGGAAAACTGACAATCCAGCTAAGCATTTATGATTGCCCCCAGGAAAGAGATAAAAATACATATAACCCTGTAAGCCAAGAATAAAGAAGTCCCTAGGACCTCTAAAACACAACCTATAT